GTCTAGCCTTCACAGCCATACATTGCAACTGGAAAAAAGTTGAAATGTATGGTACCTTGGTACTCAACTGCTTTGAAACTCATCATGTTTGGTGCTCAATGCATTTTGACTTGAAAATTTTGTCCCAGTACTCCACATTTGTTTGGTAGTCAATGCACAAGTTAGCACTTGTCAGTGTTGGCTGCCTTGTGACCCACTACATTATTCCCTACAGGGGAAAAAATTGTTTGCTACTCATTGTTTTTGCTACTCATCCCGGAACCAATTAAGCAGGAGTACCAAGGTACCATACATTTCAACTTTTTTCCAGTTGCAATGTATGGCTGTGAAGGCTAGACCATAAGAAAGGCTGAGCACCAAAGAATGGAAGCCTTTGAACTCTGGTGCTGGAGAAGACTCCTGCGAGTCCCTTGGACTGCAAGGCCATCCAACTGGTCAGTCCTAGAGGAGATCAAGCCTGACTGCTCTTTAGAAGGCCAGATCCTGCAGAGGAAACTCAAATCCTTTGGCCACCTAATGAGAAGGAAGGACTCACTGTAGAAGAGCCTCATTCTGGGAAAGACTGATGGCAAAAGAAGAAGGGGATGACAGAGAAGGAGGTGGCTGGGTGGAGTCACTAGAAATGAGCTTAAATGCACTTCAGAGGATGATAGAGGACAGGAAGGCCTGGAGGAACATTATCCATGGGGTCACGACAGATTGAACATGACTTCATAACTAACAACAACCACCAAGGTACCCGTGTATATGGAAATGATACCTTTTAAGGTTCCTTTTAAGCTACGCATTAAAGCTAAAAGTCTAGGCAGACACTGACTGCAGGACAGATATATCCAAACCACAAAGTGGAAGTGGCTGTGCCACTCACTGAGCGTTCATTGTACATTGTAAGAAAGGTCTGAAAAAGAACATCTAAGTGCATTCTGGCTTCAAAACTCCATGTGCTTCAAACTCTCCGAATCTCACAGCAGGTAGAAAAGGCATAAAGACTTTCAAAGCAGGTAGATACATGGGGAAATTGTGGAAAAAGCAGATTGTTGTGAATCACCCTGACCCTGTGTCAAATGACTCCAGGAATCTTAACTGGAACCTCAAAACACGCACAATTCCTTTGGGAAGAATTTTTTTAGAAGCTGCACAGGGAATGCCTGCTTAAGACATCCTTTGCCCCCATTGTCTCCGTGACCTGCTCATCCACAGACCTCCTAACTTTGTCTCATTGTGTTCCAAAGGTTAATTTAATTACTTTCATAATGTGTTATGTTCCCCCCTGCCCAGATCCCTGCACCAGTTGCTTACATTATCAGTTAAACTAATGCAATGTTTGCAACGGACAAATTAGAACTTGAAGAAACCTGTTAGCTGCACTCACAAATGTGTGGTTTCCTCTTCCTGCTCAAAGAGTGACTGCTCCTGCATCTTATTTTAGTCCACAGAAAAGGAAATGCAGAAAAAGCTGAAAGCAATGTTTTAAGACATGTATCTCCAAGGAAACGAATGTCACCCCAAACCCAGGACGGTAGAATTAGTTTGGTTTGAACTGTGAATTAATTTGAGCAGGCATTCTCTGAAATGTTAAAATAAAGTTCTCGGATGAAAAAGAAATCCTGAAATCTCAGACCACGTTGAAATCAATGACATTTTGAGAGAGCAAGAGGCATCTTGAAGTAGTGGAAGTTCCACAAGTGTACCTGAATTCTAAAGAAGTTGACCAAACTTTAATAGATTGTATAATCTTCGTTGTGAGCATATATATGACTTAATGCTTGGAAGTTTTAGATTTGGACTCAATTCAAGTGTTAAAGAGTAGGTGGTCCATACTCAAATCATCAGTCAGATAGTCCGTGAAAACGTTAGAATGATCTCATCTGTTGTGATGGATTTTGGATTCAGCCTAATGTACTTTATAAGGCTGTTTGGCAGTAACCTAGAGCAACATAAATATTATAATAATGTTGATGAAGATAATAATGAATTTTTTTAAAAAAATAAGCAACATTTGGTGTAAGGCAGCAGACCAGCTAGGTTTTAAAACCTTATAGATGTCTCCTTTTGGGCAGCAATATGAATTGGTTTATTTGTACAGAAGTAACATTTATCTACTCCATTATCATGCCATGCTTTGATCGGAGAATGCTGCGTTGATGAAATTGAACTCCCAGAATAGTAGCATTTGATCATGTGGGTAAAATTTGGCAGGTCTGGAAGATCAAATCTTGAGGAAAGTTGGTCGGCATCTGTTCCTTCCCTCCCATTTTTATAAGGGTAAAACACAACGAAACGGTGGCAATCCTGATACTGTATTGTAAATTAGATACTGCCTTCGGGCTTTGGAGAATATGTTGACTCCCTCTTCTTTGTGGCAGCTCCTCAAATATTGAAACACTGCTCTCAGAGGCAGGGCAGAGAATACAAACTTTTCACCTTACACAGGATTCTCCAATGCTTTTAAGTGATATGTCCCTATCTCTTTTTTCCCCCTTTAATGGGATCAAAACAAGTTCAGAGAGCTAAAATAAAATTGCAGCAAATGAAGGGAAAAACAAAGCATGTGAAGCCTGTCTGTTTTGTCAAATTAGCCTTCCACCTGAAATTTCATTTAATGAAATTACATGAAGAATGCATGGCAAACTAGTTTGGAGTAGTAATTAAAGCAACAGGTTACCAGTAGAAACTGGAAGATGGTGAGTTGTAGTCCAGCCTTAGGCATAAGGGCAGCCAGTCACATTCTCTCAGCCCTAGAAACTACTTCTGAAAACCCTTGCGA